CAGTGTAAGGTTTTCTCTTCTGCATCTTCTGCTTTCCTGTCTAGAGGCAGTTTCTTAAGTATTCCTTTAGAAGTTAACATGGTGGTTTTTGTTTTGTTTTGTTTTGTTTTTTTCGAGACAGGGTTTCTCTGTGTAGCCCTGGCTGTCCTGGAACTCACTCTGTAGGCCAGGCTAGCCTCAAACTCTCGAACTCAGAAATCCGCCTGCCTCTGCCTCCCAAGTGCTGAGATTAAAGGTGTGCACCACCACCGCCCGCCGACGTTTTTCTTTAAGACCAGAACTTTCTATGTCCTGTGGCCTTGAACTAATCTGTAAAAAGCCTTCTAAGAATTGTGATTGCAGGTGTGCATCACACCTGAATTTTGTCTCACTATATTTTAAAAATCATTTCAGAAGCATATGAAAGGCACTCAGGACCATTTTGTCTCACTATTTTATACACAGTAACTTACATAGTCACTATTCTAGTGAAGATTGAGACAGGGTCCAACCTTCGGTTTTTTAGAATTGCCACAATCAGTGGCCATGAATGTTCAAGTGACCATGTATATTCAAGTAGGATCTACCCTGGAAATGGGAATATCATTAAGGACATATCTCTGGCAGAACACTTGTCTAGCCTCGTCTTGATCCTCAGCAGCACCTAGACACACAGAATTTGGAAGTAGCAATCTTAGGCTAAAGGGTATGGGCATTTTACTTAGTCTAACTGAAAGCTGTTAGCTCACTGAGTAGCCTTGAATTTACAGCAGTTCTCTTGCCTCAGCTTCCCAAGTGCTGAGGGCTTCATCACAGTGCCTGCTCTGACATGTGTAAATTGGTAGCTATTGGGTCTCAAATATTCAACATGTCAAATATTTTGATCTAGCCAGGTCATGGTGGCGCACACCTTTAATCCTAGCACTCAGGAGGCAGAAGCTGGCAAATTTCTGAGTTCTAGGCCAGCCTGATCTATAGAGCAAGTTCTAGTACAGCTAAGGCTACACAGAGAAACCCTATCTCGAAGTTTGTCAACCCAGGGAAGAGGTATTCTCCAGTCCATTTGGTTTGCAATGATCTTATTTTGAGGGAGCCAGCCTCTCTTCATGTCCTTCATGCCCTCTTCTAGCCTCAGAGCACCTGTACACACATGGCATGCACACCTTGACACGTTTTCCTTTATGTTTTATTCTTTGCCTATTTTACTTGATTTATAGCTCACTATAGACTACGAAAGTCAGCTTGCCAAATGAATCGCAGATATTTCACCAGCGTGTTGACTTTTGGCATTGCCATGTTTCTCATGTGTGCATATTTGTGAATGCATTGGCAGAGGTCAGGGGACAACTTTAAGGAAGTGCTTCTGTCTTTCACAGTGTGATCCAGGGATTTAACTCAGGTCCTCAGACTTTTAGATGACACACTGGTGTTTGGCCATAAATAAATAGGATTACCACCACCCTCAATTTTATATTATAATTCAAAGACTTTCTCACTTTGAGGTCTTATGTTTCTTTTGATGTTGTTTGGAAGTAGGGTCACACATAGTCCAGGCTAGCCTGGAACTTGCTATGTAGCTGAGACTGCCTCTCCCAAATGCTGGAAGTACAGGTCTGAGCCAACATACTTGGTTTGAGGTTTTAAGATTTTATTTTTTTAAATTAATTTAGTTGTGTGTGTGTGTATGGATGTGAGTACAGGTGCCCATGGAGGCCAGGGGTCAGGTCTTCTTGAAGCTGGAGTTACAGTGGTTATGAGCCACTTGATTTGGGTGCTGGGAATAATTCTGGTCTGCAAGAGCAGTGTATGTATGTTCTTAAGTGCGGAGCCAGCTCTCCGTCTCTCTCCAGTAGTTAGAAGGTTAGCTTTGTATAGCAGCAGCTTATCATTTGGGAAGTGCTAGAGCACCTGCTTACCGTGTTTCGGCCCCAAGTTTGATCCTCAGAACCATTTGTAGTGGTTCTAGGAGGTGCTGTGCCCTGTGCATGGCATGGGGCCTGCCAGGAAGCATTGTGGTTTTTGCTAATCCCTTCAGGACAAAAGGATAGTGATAACTGGAACACACAAGTTTGTGCAAGTACTTTTCTCCTGGGCCTGTCTTCCCATGAGGACACAGGTACTCATCAATATTGTGGCAGAGGCCATGGAGTTGTGGGGTGGATGCTCCCAGGAGAGGACAAGGGGGTAGAGCCAAAGTAGGCAGCAGGTGTGCTCCAGCTTTGTTTTTAGAAGGTCATGGCTATTTGTCTTTTATCTTGGGAACCTAGGGCTCCATTTACAAAGGGTGTGTTTTACTCAGTGGGCCTGAAGGGCCACCCTCAAGCTCCACAGCCATGTCCCGCTTTTATATAGAGTGAATGAGGCACTGGAAGTCAGTTCTCTTTTTATCTGTTTTCCCTCTAGCTTCTGAAGTGTTGGTGCCCATTAACTGGTCTTCAGAATTTAGCTGTGTGGGGTGTGCTGAGGAATTTACTTCTCTGAAATTCAGAAGCCTGGGAATTTCTCCTTTATTCTAAGCTTCTTCCCTTGCAGTTGTCCCTCAGTGCTGCCAGAGGAGCTTTATAAAGCCTGTACCTCTGCTCAGTTGTCTGTTGTCCCCTCATTATCTCTTGACTGAGAATCCTGACCTGCTACACCACCCTTTGCTGCAGCTCGGCTCAGTTCCAGGTAAAACACTGAGTGTCATCTCTTATAATCAGGCTCAGTTAAACACGCAGAGGCTGAGATTTTGAGTTAGGCATCTGGGGACTCTCTCTCTCTCTCTCTCTCTGTGTGTGTGTGTGTGTGTGTGCAGATCATAGGCTCCTCTGACCTTGTGTCATTCTTGCCAAGGTCAAACACAGCTGTGTACACTCCAAGAATCATGCTTGAAAACCAGTGGGAAGGTAAAAGGGGAGAAAAAGACTGCATAGCAGCTACATTTGAACAAGGTTTTAAGATACTGGCACCCAACACCTGTCATATCACGCTGGTCAACCTTGTTGCAAGGGAGACAAGCAAGGACATTGGTTATAGCCCACTATGTGTACACCTAAAGGCTTCAGGTTTTAACAGAATGGATGTTTGGGGGAAATGAAGGCTCTGCCTAAGTACCAGAGCTCTAACTTTGCTTATCTGGTCTGTGTCCTGCTGTATGCCTTCCCTTCCTGGATGGATAAAGACCAAGGTGCATACCCAAGACACAATGCAGTTCCTTCCACTGTTCTTCCTGGAGTGTTTCCCTCTTCCTTTGCACCTGCCATCTTGTTATTGGAACAGGACCTCCCTTACTATGGTTGCTTGCTCTAACCCCCAACTTTGTGACTCCCCCAACCAAATCCTACCTTTTATTCCCGTTGCCTCTGGGCTGCCTCCCTGTCCTCTTAGGCTTCCTCACTTGTCCACATGGACCTTTGGTACAAAACACTGGCAGCCTAGAGGACAGACCAGGGCACAGGACCAGGATGAAGCCGATCCTGAGCCCAGGTGCATGAGGTAGCACATTTTTCCCCTGCCAACCTGCCCCAGCCTGGGGCTGAAGCAGTCCTTTTCTCTAGAGAGCACAAATGCTCCCAGAGGCAGGCTGGGTAAGCTGGATCCTGTGTACACACTGGTGTGCAATCATACTCCTCCCTCCCCCATCCCCGGACCCCCAGCCTGTGATTTATCACCCTTGCCTTGAAATTTCCTGTTCTCAGGCAGGTTCTAACCTACAGAATCTCTGCGATCTGACCCCTGCAACCTGTTTCCACCTTTATGCAAGCTCTAGGCAATAGCTTTGCTCTTCTGGTAGCAGTTTCCCAAGGCCTCCCTGACATCCAAATTCACACTAGCTGCTGGCTTTGCTTGGCCAACATTTCCCTACTTGGACTTCGAGGCAACACTGCCTCAAAGAATGCTGCGTCTCAGAATCCTCCCTGATGAGCCTCTGTCCCCTCACAGCTTTGCCCTTACCACTGTAATGGTCTCTTACCAGGCTAAACCACTGGAGAGTCAGCATATCCTTCATCACTAGCTTGGGGCTCTCTATAAATGCTCCCTGAACAAGAGTCTCAGTTGAAGGTACAGAGGATCAGCTGACAAAGACAATTTCAAGTTGTGCTTTGGGCAAAGTGACCATGAAGCAAACATCTGAAAGGTGAACTTCTTTCTCAGATGAAACCAACTTATTTTTCAAACAACCAGTCAACTTGTACCTCAGACAAGCCTTGCCCAGACCTCAGGTGTCTGCAGCTCTGCATGCCTTCTGCTTAGCACCAGTCATGATGGCTCCATTTAGGGTTTAATACAGGTGTTCTCAATAGCAGCACTAGGAACATTTGGGCAGGATGATTCTTTGTGGGAGTTGGTCCTGTACAATGTATTTGTCCTTTTAACAGTTATTGGAATGGAACCCAAGGCCTGATACATGCTAGATAAGCACTCTAATCTCTAAGCTATATCCCGGTAGCCTTTGTAAGAAAATAGTTTGAGACACAGGCTTGGTGTATAGCCCAAGCTGGCTTCCAACTTTTGGCAATCCACCTGACTTAAGCCTCCCAATTGCTGGAATTGCATGTGTGTGTTATAACTGGCTGTAAAGTATTTAACAGTATTGATCTCTGCCCAGTTGAGACAAATAACTCCTTTCCCAAGCTGTGATAGCAAAAAATGTCCCTCTGGGGTTATAAATAAATGCCCCTGGCTGAGAACCACAGGTATGATGTTTATTCTCTTAGTTACAACTGAAGTTCCCAGAAGGTGGCCTAGACACCTGCTATCCTGTGTCTCTTAAGCTTTAATGATATCAGCCTGCCACTCACTTTCTAGGCAGCAGATTCCCTTGCCCTGGACAGAGCCACACACTCCAGGAGAGGTTAACAACCTTTTCCTTTCTGCCAGACCCTAGGGCTCAGGCTGCTGAGGGCAGAGAGTGATTTCTGCACTTGGCAGCAGTCTCCTAGCCTCTGCTTTCAGGGTGGTGAGGCAGCGACTATGGACAACAGGTGGAAGGCAGGGCAGGTGCACACCATTCCCCCACAGGCATGACTGTACTCTTCATCCTCTACTCCAGAAGTTCAGAGTTTATTAGGGACCCTAGGGCTGGCCTTCCACCCTCCTGGCAGGAAGAGGAAGTGAGGATGAGGCAGTCTGGGAAGCCTGGGGTCCTTATGGAGAGACAGTCTTGCTGGTCTGCCTCTCCTGCTTTCCTCCTGGTCCTCTGGAGTAATCACATGGTAAGAATCTGCTTCGAAGACACAAAAGGCTTCATGGAGGCTTCCAAAGCCTGCTGGTAGTCCTGCAGTGGAACCTCAGAGCAGGAAGGGGCTGTGAGCTGGCCTTGGCGGATGAGGTTGCAGAGAGTGAGAATCAGCTCCTTGAACTCCTCTGCAGGAGGTACAAGTCAGACAAGGAACAACAGGTGAGGCTTAGTGAGATGGCATGAGACACAATCATGAAGAGTAATCCTAGGAACTGGAGATGGGCTCAGTGATGGTTATAGTGGCTTATCCACAAGACAGGACTGGTGAGGAGCTGGCCCTAAATGGTGGCTAGGACAGCATTACTAAACTAAGGAAGCTAGAGGAGGCCAGGAAGGCAGGCTACCTGGCACATTGCTTGAGGGCAACAGCAGATGAGGAAAAGCTCTCTTTGACAGCCCTGGGCTTCCACGAGACTCCTTAACAGGCAACCACGTTTCCTTCGGGGTCTGCCTCTTGCTGAGGGCCATATATAATGTAGGAATTGAGGTGAAGGCCTAGGCTGTGAAGTATTTTTCTTTTTTTTAAAGATTTATTTATTTATTTTATATATCTGTCTTCAGATACACCAGAAGAGGGCATCAGATCCCATTACAGATGGTTGTGAGCCACCATGTGGTGGTGGCTGGGAATTGAACTCTGGACCTCTGGAAGGGCAGCCAGTGCTCTTAACTGCTGAGCCATCTCTCCAGCCCAGAGAAGTGTTTTTCATACAAATAAACTCAACCTTCAAATTTAATTTTACTTCCTGATTAAAACACTATGCTGGCAGGTATACTGGTGCATGCCTTTACTCCTAGCTCTTGGGAGGTAGATGCAGGTGGATCTCTGAGTTCTAAGTTAGCCTGGTCTACACAGTGAATTCTAGGACAGCCAGAGCTACATAGTGAGACCCTGTCTTAAAACACACACACACACACACACACACACACACACACACACACACACACCATAAAACAAAAAAACACTGCCATGCTGGCTCCCCAGTTACCTTCAAGGCAGGAGTATGAACTTGTTAGGCCTTTTGTAATCCAGTCAGAACCTGCTCTCTCAGTCCAAGACCAGACTTGATCCTCCAGGTGTCAGAACCTGCCTTGTGTGGTGGTGGGTTTTGCTCTCTTTAAATGTTTACTTTAGGTGTAGCATATGTACTTCTAAGTGTATATGTGTGTAGGTGAGACCACATATTGATTGAGGTGTGTTCCCTCAGACACATTTCTTATTTATAGACAAGATCTTACGATGTATTGCTGAGTGGCCTGGAACTCTGTGTAGATCATGGAGCTCTGCCTGCCTCTGCCTCTTAAGTGCTGGGATTAAAGGTGTGCACCAACATTCTCAGGACCCCTTTATTTTTTGAGACAGTCTCTCACTGAACCCGGTGCTTTTTGATTTGGCTATAGGCTGGGTTACTCTACCTTTTCCCCTCTCCTCTCTCCTTGTAGTCCTGTGTTACAGGCTTTTTTGTGGATACTGGCGGTCTGAACTCAAGTTCTAAGCTTGCTTAGCAAGCATTTAACCAAGTTACCCCTAGCCTTTCCCCTGAGTCCTCAATGAGAACACTGGTGCATGCCACCACTTCCCTTCAGCCGAGTCCACGTCAGTCTTCAGTCTCAGCCTTGGCTCCTCATCTGGGGAGCTGGGCCGCAGTAGTCAAAGGCCTATGCTTACTAGAGCAGTTCCAGTCCAGAGATGGGATAGTGTTGAGTAATTGACTTAGTGGCTCTGAACCTCAGTTTTCTCCTCTGTCAAATGGCTCAAAAGTGTTAAAACTAATGATGCTTAAACCAAGGCAGAGATTCAGTGACTAACCATAGTTCCCAGCTAGGCCAGGCCCACCTTGATCTATCTGCTGATGCTGAAAGCACCATGTGAACTGTTTGGGTTTTCATTTTATTTTCTGTTTCTTTCTTTTTTGTAACAGCATCTAGTTATAAACTAAGGATGACCCTGAACTCATAACCCTCCCACCTAAGCCTCTTGAGGGCTGGGATTACAAGTGTATACCATTGCACCCAGTCAGCTCCTCAGAACAAGGGCTGGTCCATCTCACTAGACTCTGTGCCAGGGACCGGCTGGCTCCATCTAGAAGTGATCTGCTGAGGTGACTATGTAAACTACGGTAAGGTCCTTAGTCCTGTTGAGGTTGAGGACCTGTTCACTTTGCAGGTTTTAGAGTAGCTGGTCACTGCAGCCATACTAGGCTCTACACTATGCCTCTTGGTAATAAGGTCATCAGCCACTCACCTGGACTGTGGTTCTTCTTCCACTGGGACAACCAAAAGCCCCGAAGTTTGAGGTCCTTAAAAATGAGCAGACTCTGTAGACACAGAAAGATTCACAGAGGCTCTGAGTACTAGAACTTAAAGCATTGCTTCACGTATAGATCCCTCGAATTTAGACAACTGCAGTCAGTGCAAGGAAAGAGGAAGCTAAGCCTTGGTCTGCAGGTATCCCCAGCTTACCACAGAGGCTGTTACAGGCTGCTTGGCCATTCCCCCATAGGTCACCATGGTTCCTCCAGGCCTGTAGAGTCCAGAGAATGAAGAGTTGGTGCAGGCAAAGACAGAACCTACCATGGCCTAAGGAAGGTGCTAAGGCATTTACAGGAACCAATACTGGCTCTCTAAATCACTGGAGAGACATAAAAAAATATATATATATTCCCAATTTTAACCTCTGACTTAAAGAATTAGAGGCAGGGACTGAATATCACACATCCTGGGCATGGTGGCAGATGCTTTTAATCCCAACCTTGAGAGGCAGATTAATCTGCTTGTAGGCAAGCCTTCCACACAGCAAGTTCCAGGCCTGCCAGGGTTCAGTGAGACTGTCTTAATGTAAGCAAGCAAGCAAACATATATAGGCATGGAGTACAAGCCAACAGTCCCAGAAGTTGGGAGGGAGGAGGATTAAGTTCAAGGCCAGCTTCAGTTATATAGAGATACCCTGACTGGAAACCAAATAACAGACACACACATTCTCATGCTCTAGATAATCAAGATGATAATCCAAGGCTGGGAAACCACTTCTTCACCCCACCCAGGTAGGCTGTGGCTATGTAGGGCTGCTGAATTTTCTGGACAGAAGAGCTCCAGGCCAGGTTCAGTCTGGGCTCTGCTTGCTACACAAGTGTGATCTTGAGCAATGTAATGAAAATGGTTCAAGCCTTGTCTCTTCTCTGTAAATGCTCACTCTAAAGATCAGCACCACAAATAGCTCTTCAGCTAAGGAGTGAGGTGGTCAGTGATGAGCGTCCTTTCCAGAAGGGGCTCTGTTGGTTGGAACTTGCAGTTTGACACCCTCTCAACAGCCGAGCAGGCATGGCACAAATGCAATTTTCTGTTTTTGAGGCAGGGTCTTTGTCATGTAGCATAGACTGGTATCTTAAGGTGTAACCCTCCTGCTTAGCTGAGACTTCAGGCAGGTACTAACCTGCCTAGCTCTATTGTAATTTCTTACAATGAATTGGTGAGGACATCATGAGCTAGACTTAACCTTTGCTGCTGTCCCTGCTCCTTGACTCTTTTAGGAGTTTGTTGACAAAGGATGACCTGAGGCACATTTTTGGAGAAACTGAGGAAAACTGGAAAGGACTTATGGAGTCAACTGCTGTATTACTACCTACCTATGAATCACAGTGCTGGGGAGGAACCTAGTCCTCACGTTCTTAGAGCATGTTAAACACATGCTCTCAGCTGTGTTCCCAGGCTCCGGATGTTATCTCTCTGTGCCTGTCTCCATGTATGTGTGTATTTGACTGTATCTGTGTATCCTATGGCTGCCTCAGACTTGGTATCTATCTCAGGCTGGCCTTGAACTCATGCTAATCCTTCTCCGTAGCCTCCGAGCACTAAGATCACAGGGGTGCCTCACAAGAATGGCTTAATTTGGCCTTAAATTCCCCTCAGATGGTTCTCACTCAAGAAATAAGTTCCTAATGGAACTGCTCCTTATCCCAGACACAGCTCTAAGCTCTACCTGTACTGTCTCCATGAGTTATCAGAGTATCATCAGGGGAGACTGCTGTCTGGTCTGTAGGACACAGCTGAAGCTTATCACGTCTGCATCACCTCACTGTCCTTACACTCTGCAGCAGAGGCAGAACCATATCTCTTGCACTCACTTCAGAGCTGAGGAGACTTAAGGCTTGGTCTTCATGTTTTGCCTAACTCTTCCCAGGTCTACAGCTAGAAGGTAGCAGAGCTGGGGTTTGAACCCAGTCCTTCTAATGTCAGTGCCCACACTGTGACCGCTTCTTCCTTTGACAACTGCATGGAGGATGCAGGTAGCCTCACAGGCTGCTCGCTGTCTGACTGGGGTGTTTCGTAGTTACCAAATCTTGGGGTCAACCCTTGCTGTTTTGTCAACTGCTCCTTGAATGAAATGATTGCACTCTCTGGGCTTCATTTTTTAAAGTATCAAATGAAAATGGGGAATGGGGACATAGCTCAGTGATGGGACATGTGCTTTAGCATGCCCGAGGCCCTGGGCTCAATCCCCAGAACCAAAAGGAAAGCAAAACAGCAATTCGGAATAGCAAGCCCTGTCTATGGCTATAGATGGCATGACAGCCACTGCAAAGGCTGACTCTCCACATAGCTGTGTAGCTGTCCCAGTCTATGTGCTACCTCAGCAGCTTAGCCACCTCTTTAACCATAAGCTCGTAGCTCGTGGTGTTGGGTGAGTCACTGTGGAGGGGCCACGTTCTAGCTGGGAAGTATTTCTTAGGTGTTCTCTGATCAGAGAACAGCACACAGTGAGTGGAGCTTCTCTACAGTGGGTGAGGGTTGACAGAATGCCCGTCTCCTGGTCCCTCGGCACTTTTTTTTTTTTTAAAGATTTATTTATTTATTTAATATATTTGAGTACACTGTAGCTGTCTTCAGACACACCAGAAGAGTGCATTGGATCCCATTACAGATGGTTGTGAGCCACCATGTGGTTGCTGGGAATTGAACTCAGGACCTCTGGAAGAGCAGTCAGTGCTCTTAACCTCTGAGCCATCTCTCCAGACCCACCTTAGAACTTTTATCTTGTAACAAGTGTAATGTTTCTTCCATATCAATTCTAGTTTTAAAAGACAGTAAAACAATTTCAAAGCCACTTAGTTCAGACTGAGTGACTTTTTAAGAAGCCAGGAGGTGATGACTCCTGGGATCCTGGGAGGAGAAAGGGCTGACTAGGCTTCTCATCACATAAAAGAGGTTGGACAGCGCAGGCCAGAGAGCGTCAGCATCCTGCTACCCTGGCCTACACTCAAACTTGTCACTAGACAGCCCTCCTGATGGAGACCTGCAGGCTGAAGGACTTACGCTAGGTGCCGGAGCAGCTCTGTGGAACTCTTCCCACCAACACAGTTGAGAGCCAGTCGGGGCAGCGGCAGGTCCTGAAAGTAAGGAAGCTACAGTGAGGGCATACGTGCGGTTTGAAGCTGCTATGAGCAGCACTGTGAGGCCCAAGAGCTGAGTTAGAAGAGAAGGAAATGGCGTGTGCATGACTTTTGGGCTTGTTTGTTATCTGTCTGGGAAGGGCTTTAGCAGCTTCATCCTCTTGTTCATCCCAGGACTTTGGGAAGCACAGACAAGGAGCATCTCTGCTCAGTGTCAAGGAACAGAGTTTACACACGATGGGCTGACTTCTACTTCAGCAATGCTATCCAGGGCAAACGTGCTCAACAATGGGTATGTGGTTCTTCCATATGCTTTAGTGCAAAAGGCCTCAGACTGGGTCTGCTGGGGTGGATGTTCTGAAGAGGTACGGGCTTTGAGTTCAGAGCGATGAGGACCAGCCTCACCACTTTGTGATGATGTGGTTCTGAGGCTGGTGTCTCCTCATCTATGCAGCATCTATGTCAGATACTTTGTAGAGCTTTTCTACAAAGGGATGTCAAGTAAATGTGAGGCAGAGGCTTAGGAGCTTCTCTCCTTCCTTCTCTCTCCATGCCTTAGTTTCCTCAGACCCTTATCCAGCTCTGACTCACACCTGCCATGTGGGTTGATGGAGCACACCACAGATGTTTAAAACCTTGGCTTTCCTAAAGTCTGTCTCCTTCTGCCTCCTTCCATGTCTGAGTATGCTGTCCTTAGGCTAAGGTTGGATGGGCTTTATTCTTTCCAGAACAGAAGATGGTTTGCAGAGCAGAGCAGGGAACCCAGATTTTGTAATTACAGGGAGATAGCATGGGATGGAGGAGGAAGTCTTCTTAGCTGGGTGCCTTGGCTTTTATTTTTAAAAATCTGAAGACTTTATTTTGTGCATGTGAATATGAATGTTTTGCCTACATGTTTAATTCTGTACCACATGTGTGCCTGTTACCTGTGGAGATCAGAAGAGAGTGTCAGATCCCTTAGAACAGGAGATACGGATGGTTGTGAGTCATCATATGGGTACTGGGACTGCAAGAACAACAGCTTACACACCTCTCCAGACCCAAGCTAGGTACCTTGAAGATGGCTTTTGTCTCGGGCATCCTTAGCTCCTCCTCTGTGAGGACATAATCAGCGCCTAGATCCTTCAGTCTGTCAATTAGCTTCTTGATGTCGGGTCTGGAAACCAAACATAATCAGGGCTTTGGTCACACTGGCTAACTTCCCTCCCTCAAGCTCCCAGAAGCCCTTTGCCACAGCCCTGAGAACACATCTCTGTTTTGAGAACAAGGATAGAGAGAGGTTAAGCCAGACCTCAAGCAGGAGCTGTCCACATCATTTAATCATGCTCTACCAGATCTTGCCTCATTTCCTCTCTGGACAGAGCCAGGCTGGGAGATAGTCTGACAACCTGTGAGTGCACACACCCTAGAGCCATCTGTGTCCAGGGAAGAGCCATCCTACTTCCTTGTTCTGTTCAGACACCACTTTCTTTCCTCTTGCTCTCCAGGGTACCAGAGGGTATCATGCAAACACACTCTGGTGCAGAGTGGCCCTGACTCTTTGGCCCAGGCACACAATCACTTTTTCATAACAACTGCAGAGGCAGTATCAACTCTCATAAGAACAGACTCAAGTGACTCGGCCACACTGGAGCACACTGAGGTTTAAAGGGACTGGAGGGGACAATGGAAAGAAGGTAAGTCTGTTACTGACTTGCCGTGTCTTCCTGAGCAAGCTGCTTCCTCTCTTGGAAACTTGAGCTTCCTCATCTGTAAAAGAGAGACCACAAGCCTGCGCCATCTCCTTCACAGCTGTGCTTAGTGTACACATGCCAGCGGACAGGGCTAGCGAGTTCATACAACAGTACAAACCAAGGCTTTCCCAAGTGGAACTGTGGTTACCCCTAAGTCAAGTCTCCAACACTCCTGACTGTTCAGTAAACTGACTGTTCAGTAAGGACCGTCTCTGCCTCTTTCATTATCTCTCTGTGTCAGACTTTCACAAGGACATCTTTTGCCCTGCGAAATGTTTGTAAGTCAGCAGCCAGCCACTCGTGCTTACACATGCGCGCCATCTGGTGGAGATGTAGGTGTGCACAAGGACATGAGGCCTTCCAGTACCTGTCTCGGACCACATTGATGGTCTTTAGGCGAAGGGCTGAGGCGATCTGAATGACTGCTTGCCCCACTCCACTGTTGGACGCATTCTGGATGACAGAGTCCCCTATGGAAGAGATCATGTTAAGTCCTACAAACTTGGGTAGAGGGCTTCCAGCCTGGGATCCCAGGGTAGATGCAGGACCTAGCAGTGGCGCTTTCTTAGACTGTGAACTATCACTTGGTTATCTATCACATCTATAATGCTTCACAGGATTTGGCCACTCTGTCCATGTTTCAGACACTGCTTTGATCATCTTCCCAATTTTTATGTCCTCTCTTCCATCCACCTATCCACCCACCCACCTATCTGTGTGTGTATGTATGTGTGTATGTGTGTGTGTGTGTGTGTGTGTCTGTCTGTCTGTCTGTCTATCTATCTACCCTTCTATCTATCTATGAGTGCATTCTCTCTTTCTACCACATACGTTCAGTCTCAGAGGCAAGCACCTTTGCATGCCGAGTCATCTCACTGACCCATTCTGAGGCTGAGTCTCTGGTTTGAAATGGTTTTCTGGTTCTCTTCCTTTTTAAGTTCAGCTCAACTGTAGCTTCCTTCATGAAACCCTCCAAGGTTCCTTCTTGTTTGCTCTCAGAGGACTCTGGTATCTCGTCAGTGCTCAGGCTGTAACCGTGTTCTACACGAAGCTGTACATAGGGCCATGTTTATCAATACCCTTCAGTCCTGAGGGGGGGCCATCCCTTTCTCCCTTGTGTATTATTTGGTTTTTTTTTTTTGGTTTTTTTGAGACAGGGTTTCTCTGTGTAGCCCTGGCTGTCCTGGAACTCACTCTGTAGACCAGGCTGGCCTCGAACTCTCAAACTCAGAGATCCACCTGCCTCTGCCTCCCAAGTGCTGGGATTAAAGGCGTGCGCCACCACCGCCCGGCTTGTGTATTATTTGTAATGGATGAGAGCCATGTGAGAGAAATGGGAAGCTCCAGGGCCCTACAGGATGTTTGCTTTTGCTTTGTGGTGCTAGGGATGGAACCTAGGGACTTGAGCTTGCCAGGCAAGTACTCTACCACTGAGCTATATCCCCTACAGTGGGAGAGGCAGTGTGGTACCCGAGGGAAGTGTGGGCTGTGGCACACAGTGGAGCCGGGTGTACATTCTGCTTTACCAATGACTAACTAAACCAGACAGGCCACATTATGTCGTCTTAAAACTTCAGTTTTAAAAAACAGGAGGCCTTCGAGCACTTATCAGAGCATCTCTGATTGAAGCCAAATGAGCAGGAAGATGCTCTGTTGACTGGGAAACAGTGTCTGTTTTGAAAGGCAGCAGGAGTCAGTGCAGAATGGGCTATAGCTAGTGACAGACTCCTAGGTCAAGAATGCTCACTTGCCTTGGCTCCAACCTCTCACTCACCAGTGCACTCTTAACTAACTGTAGGTGGACAGCAGCATTGATCTGTTTCAGTTAGAGCTGAGGAGTACAGGAATGCAAGATAGTAACAAAGACAGTGAAGACGGGTATTGGGCTGCCAAAGTTGTTTTCATTATCTGTTCATCTATGCATATGTTCTAGTGAACAATGTGACATTTATTCTTGCTTTGGATCAGGTCATGAATTTGTCTGGCCTCATGGAGAGGTGGGCTGCTGATACTCACAGAGGGTAGCATCAGAAGGCCTGGCTCTATTAAGCACAGTGTTGCTCTAATCAGGAGTGACCTCAGGACCAGGACTTGAGATGAGGTGCCCAGTGCTGGCTGTGCCAGGACTCCAGCAGAGGTCTCTCATCATACCTGGCTTTCTCTACCAAAGGTACCTAGGACTCCCATCATGGCGGAAGGTCTTGATCAGCGGCTGTCTAATTTTATCATAGTCCAGCAGCTCTTGCCTCAGTTTCTTCAGTGGCATGAGAGAAGAGCAGTAGGTGATTTCCCCAGTCCTGTGTGGCTCAGATACGAGTGCATAGAGAGATCCTCACACAGTGGGAAGGCTGGGCTGGGCCAGAGGTGAGTGGTAGACTGACTGCTTAGCACGTCCCAGGCCCTGATTCTATCCCAGAACAGTAAACAAGACAAAGTCCCCAGAAGCAACAAAAACAAACTGGCCAGACTTCAGTCTTCTGGGATTAATTCTTCAGTGTATCATATGAAGAATATGAGGGGATCCCTACATACTGTAGTCTCTGGCACCCCTGTTCTCCATATGGGTGAGCATTAGGTGAGTGGGGGAGGTGAAGCCTGGGTCAGACCTTATTGGTGTGAGGCTTGGGTTCTTAATCCCTAACAGGAGTCCTTTGTGCATCACTCTGAAGATGTGACCCTTACAGGGAGGATGCCTGCAAAGGCACTCGTGCGAGTGGAAGTGCTGAGCAGGACTCTTACTACCGAGTTCAGCATTTTACTGAAAACAGTGGCTATGTCTGTCTCCCCTCGCTTTGTGTCCCGAAAGCTTAGCACAGCTCAACACATTTTTGCTGAATGACAGCATTCCCGGCCCCAGCTCTGGGGAATGAACCAGCACTTCTTATAGTGTCTCCTCTGAATGTTTTCTAGGAACCCATTGAACATCTTTTTACTTAAGCGCAGTAAGACCTACTCAGGTTAGAGTCTGTCACGGCCCCAGGGACCCTCTCTCCACCATGTGTGCAGGGAGTTTCCAAGTCTTTTGAGCCAGGATTTTAGTGCACCCCAGTGGGAAGACCCTGCATTGCTCCCCCACCTTGCAGGTTCCTACCTGGCTGTAGCTGTTCAAAGTCCAGCAACATCCTGTAGGCTGTGCAGGGGTTGACACCTAGGGTGGCAGCACTCTGGAGAGGGATGTCCTTAGGGACTCCAATCAGCGCTTCCTCACTGAACACTGCCTCCGTCCGCCAGGTTCCTGAGTCAGGATGAGGCAGGGTAGTAAGAGAGGAGCCCCTGCACACCGAGGCCCCTCTCCTTGGTGCAAGGGGATTGAGGGTAGCAGACTTGGGAGTAAGCCTTGGAAGAAAGAGTAAAGCTCATGGTGTTCAAGTTCTCATGGACAGTTACATGCACGGTGGTGTAAAATAATAAAGCAACTTTAAATTAGGCTTTGAGAGTCATAGCCCATAGAGTCCTGACAGAGTATAGTGGGAAACACAGGAGACAAGACTCCACTGGGTACTCTCTCCCTTTGTGTTTGAGTCTGAGTAAATTTTGCTTCCCAAGGTTCAGATCCTCACAGGCTGGACTGGGTGGGTACTGTCTGCCATCCTACTGGGCCAGGGTTAGGGAATCGGGGAAAGTAGACTCAGGACTCAAACAGAAAAGTTTCCCTAGGCAATCCTGGCCTGCATGCCATTACTTTGTAACCACGAACAAACAAAGCGGAGTGGGGTCTCCAGCTGGCCCCGAAACTGGAGAGTAAGCTAATGACAGTAAGTGTAGTAAAGTGTCCCTTCATGGTCAAAAGTAGGAGAAAGGCTAAATGGTAGAGGAGAAAGTCAATTTAGACAGCTATTTGCTATCTCAAACAGAAGAGCCTTTACCACCCTGAAGTCAAACACTAAAGGAAATGGGTTGGAAAGATGGCTCCATGGTTAAGAGCACTGGCTGTTGTTCAAGGTGATCTGAATTCACTTCTCAGCACACATGATGGCTCGCAACTTGATATAACTCCAGTTCCAGGGGATCGGATATTCTCTTTGGGCCTCCAAGGGCACTGCATGCTTGTGGTATGGACAGAAGAACTGGTAAGGTTGAAGCAGGTTCAAAACCCCCAGGAAATCTCATACCTGAGAACAGCAGGCGTTGGAACCAGCTCCTGGCCAGGGTCTACCTGTCCTGAAACACGTAACCAGGACACCCCACTGAGCATAAAACCTAGAGTATAGAAGCTGTTCTCATGTCCTAGAGCATAAAACCCTACACGCTAATGAGATGTCTAGATAGGCCCAAGTGTTTAGCCAATGATCTTCCCTTCCTGGGCATCCACTCCTGCAAAAGGTATTTAATCCCTGGTTCACTCTGATTAAGGTGTATGCACTCACAATAAACAATAAACCAGTTTGGACAAGCAAGGACTGTCTCCCTCATCAGGGGTTGCCATGGGGAGGAGGGGAGGCCTTTGTTTTAAAGAGGCTTAGCCACTCCTTTCCTGCCTGGTGAGTAGGGGAAGGGCAGACCCTTGACCTCTTGAGGTCACTAGCGGTGTCTGGGTACACAGGAGATTGAGAACCACAACATCTGTCCCAGAAGGACACAGGCTGGCAGCCCTGTCATGGATTACACTCTGCTTTCCTTGGGTAGCATGCTCCAGCATCCCAGCGGCAAGGCAGACAGTCAGCTGGCATTACACAAATGTATGTGCTGGCAAAATACTTATATTAACTAAAACTTAAAAAAAAATATTTTAAAAGGCAGGGTATGGTGGGACATACACTTTTAATCTCATCACTTGGGAGCTAGAGGCAGGTGGATTCAATTTGAGGCCAGCCTAGTCTACCCTGTCTCGGGGGTGGGGGTGGGGAGAAAAGCCAACAGAAACAAAATGTGGGTTAATTATTTCTTGAGCTTGCCTGAGAAAATGAAGCTGCTCTTGTGTCCCAGGCTCATTTTATCCTGGGTAGAAAACAGTCTTCACACACACCTTAATAAAGTCAACAGGCAAAGCTAAGAGGCGCCAGTCCTCTGCTTTTGCTGTGTGCCGTTCCTGCTACCTTCCTACTTCTGCTTTATTAAAGTTCTCTCCTCCTTTCCTGTGGTCCCCACTTCATTCTCTGGGGAAGTGTCCCTAACCGTAGGCCACCTCACTCATCTTGGGAACACTACCCTCTTGTGGCTCCTGTGAAGATCAATCTGCATAATGGACGTGCCTTGAAAACAGAAGAACTGAGAAGCAGAACACTCTAACGACTCCTTTCCATATATACACAAAATGCTATCCTCAGCTTGGCTCTTCAGGGCCATACCCCATGTGGCCCCACTCCACCTCTGGAACCTTCTTTCTCATTATGTAACCTCTCCCGTAGGCAGATGCTTGGCTGAGGCCGCACACTGGATTTTCCATTTGCCAAATTTAACCTGATGTTTGCTCATTTTACTTCTTCCACAGGAAATGCCTTTTGGCTGTCTCTGCCTAACAGCTTCTTCCACCACAGACCTGTTCTAATGACTCTTCCACAATCTTACTTGGAGTTTCCTCACAAATATCTCTGTCAGAGCAGCCACAATTACTTCTGTTTCCTATGGTCTTGGAGTACTCCCCCCCTTTTTTTTTTTTTTGAGGTACTCCCTTCCTGACACCTTAGTCAGATTTATTTGAGCCTTCTGGAGGATGTGGCCAACCTTTCTTGTGTACAGAATCTGCATCAAACCTTACAGCAAAGACTCAAGGATGTAAGGAATCAGATACTTGAGGCTCGAATCAGAGAGCCAAGGAGATGTACACATAGGTATGTCCCTCCAGAGCACAACAGACAGGACTCAACTCCACATGCTAGAGGTAGCCTCTTAACTCAACAGTGAATCCTGCACTGCTTAGCTGCGCTGAGCCAGTGGGTGTGCATCTGCAGAGTATGATCTGGAAGAATAAATGGCCTCGGCCCACACCTGGGGACACTTACCCAAACCAGCATTTGCTGGGATCACCCAATCTCCTGGCTTCAATCCAGACACACTACTGCCCACTGCTATCACTTGTCCAACGCCTTCGTTCCCGCCAACAGCAGGCAGCTTAGGAAGGAGGCCATAGTTTCCTGGGAGAGAAGAAGGCAGAGTGTAAATGTGTGGTTTGGATAAAGGTATCATCCTCAGACTCATGTATTTGAACACTTGATCCCGAGCTGGTGACACTTTCTGGGGAGGTCTAGGGGCTGTGGTCTTGCTGAGCAAGTGTGTTGATGAGGGTAGAGTTCATTCTTCAAAGCACTGTGCCATCTCTAGTGCTTGCTCTATGGGTTCAAGACATGAGCCGTCAGCTCACTGTGTATGCCACTGTGCCTGTGTTGAGCCATTACAGACTCTGTGGTACCATATGTTGAAACAAAACTTTCTTCTATAAGTTGTTTTGCTTATGGTGTTTTATCATGGTAACAGAAAGTAATACAGTCATGCTGCCAGGTTTGGCTGAGACAGGAGGGCATAGACTTTGTGGTCAGTCACATTTGAGCTCATCAGGGACCTGCTCTCACAAGCTGTCCACTTAACCAAGCTCTGGCCTTCTGGTTCCTTGGCTATGCAGGAGTTTAAACTCTTTGGGCACAGGATTACCACAAGGACAAGGTCAAGTAAGAAAGGAGTCTAGCATGTCACAGGCTCTTCAGAAGGGTGGGCCTACCACCACTACAATTCTACCAACCCACAGAGCCTCATGTTTAGAGGTTGGCCAGAGAGGAGCCGAAACTGTGCATACTCCTTCTCTAGAGGACAGCCACTGCTAATCTGAGCATTTCATACTCTACCTGAGGAGGACCGAAAAGGCGGCAGCTGCTGAGCCAATTACCATAAGCTCCAGAGACCAAGGTTACCTTGGATCATATTTATGTCAGATGGATTGATAGGGGCTGCCAGCATCCTCACGTGGACGTCAGATCCTTCCACAGCAGTGAGCTCCAGATTCTTCAGTCTAAGCACAGAAAGACATTGTCAGTAGCTAAGACTAAGTGTCTTCTGCTCAAACTGTCTCCCCAAAGTAGGTCAGCAACATGCCTCAATTGTCATGTGTGTCTAGGAATCTGGTTCTGATGGAAGAGAGGTGCTTTGAGGACCAGCACAGAGTGCGGGCTCACACCAACTGCAGTGGATCAGTCTTGGTATCCTCTTCGTGTTGAGGACAGAAGCATTAGTGAGCCTCTACTGGCCTGGTCTTAGGTCCTCAGAATCATGCAGTACACTCACTATTAATACAACTGATGCTGATGCATGAACCAGCATCACCAGGTGAGGGTACCTCAAGTGGTTCTTCCAAACAAGCATACCTGGGAAACTCAGGGTCAGGCCTGTCCTCTATCCATGTGTTGTTTTGTCGGCCCCAACACACATAGGCAAAGGTGATATTTCCCTTACTGTAGAGGTGAGGCAACAGAAAGAGAACCTCTGTATCTGTGAAGTGTCTCTGCTGACTGTGACTCACACCCTAGGGAGATGGCTCTTCTGGTCTGGGGTCTTGGTGTGTTAGAAAGCATGTGCGGGTAGAGACCTTGATGTCAAGCTCTGCTGCAGGGAGGCTGGACACTGAGCACGTTTCTCCTCTGAGCTAGTCTGCTTGTGATGAAGGTCTGCACTTCATCCCTTTTAGCATTGCTCAGGGTTCTCTGTGAAGCACAAGGACCAGATTTCCGGTCCTCAGTGCTCGTGTAACAGGTAGTTAGGCCAGTCCCTGTAACTCCAGCACTGGAGGTAAAGCAGAGAAAGGCAGACCCACAGTAAGTCAGTTTAGTGAAAATATAAGCGCCAAGAAGCCTTGTCTCAAAGATGAAGAAACAACTGAGGAAAATTTCCCAATGTCAGCTACTAGCCTCTATACATGCCTGCATGGGCTAGCTCACCCATACACATGTGTCAGCACATACATGGAGACCCCACACTTGTAAAAGACCTGCCAGGGAACTTTGAGGGAACTTTTGTTATTAAAAAAAAAAAACAAACTTTTATTTTGTTGGGATGGGTCTAATGGTATACCCCTATTCCTGTACATGGGAGGCTGATATGAGAGAATGGTGAGTTTGGGGCTAGCCTGGGCTCAGTACTGGGACCTTGTCTCAAAAAAACTGAAGTGCTTTTTATTCTAAAATGTTTAATGTGTATGAGTATTTTACTTATGTGTGTGGAGCCAGGAGAGGGGGCTGGTTCCTCTCAAACTAGAGTTATAGTCTTGTGAGCCATCATGTGGATCCTTTGCAAGAGCAGCCAGTGCTCAAGATAAATGTTCTCTGTTGTTTTACTTTTAAAGCTATGTGTGTGTTAATCTGTGTATTTCAGTACAGGTGTCTGTAAAGGCCAGAGGTGTTAGATCCCCTGGCGTTGGAGTTACAGGAAGTTATGTGCTGCCTGATATGGGTACTGGAAACCAACCTGGGTCCTTTGTGAGAGAAGTCTGCACTTTTAGCCACAGAGCCGTCATCTTTGCAGAGGCCATGGAGGGTTGCTTACTGACTTGCTCAGCTTGCTTTCTTATAGCGCACAGGGACCACTTTCCCTGGTAGCACCACCTATAATGGGCTGGGCCACCTATCAATCACTAACTAATGAAAGGCCCTAAAGGCTTACCTGCTTATAGTTTGAGCTTATGGAGGCAACTTCTCAATTGGGGCTATCACCTCTCAGCTGACTACAGCCTGTGTCAAAGTGACATGTAACAAGGCAGAACACCTGCTGACTGGACAGCTCTGATCACTCAGCGAGTCCCTGTGACTTCAATGACTGCAAATTCCTTCCTTTCCTGAAACTTAAGGCTTCAAGTCTGCAATGCTTCTCTGCCCAAATGTATCTACAGAGTAATACTTTTCCTTACATTTACTTAGCAGAATCATATATAATTGCCAGCCAGAGGCTCCTAGCATGGTGCCACAGTATCCTCACACTAAATTGAGGTAATTCACCCACCTCCTACAGTATCCTCACACTAAATTGAGGTAATTCACCCACCTCCTCCAGAATCTCGCCTTTTTAATTAGACCCAAGGCATGATCTTAGGCTAAAAGTGTGATTTTTTTTCAAGTAATGTTTTACACTAATAGTAACAATAGAGGTATATTCTACCGAGGTCTTCCCTCCACCAGGCTCTGTGCTGAGAGCTTTGCACATAATGCTTCTGTGAGGGATGTGTTAAAAGTCCATGTCTACGAGGGAGTACAGTTCCTGGAGATTCTGAAGTGTACACTGGTGAGTCCAAGCTGACACTGATTTACATCAGTACATCAGCTGTGCACCAACATCTAGAGATCCTAACATTTTTGAAATCCTAACAGCCTACAAGAACCTCAGAGAATATAGAGAACATAAGGTAGGAACCCTGGACTCAAAAAGAAATGCCAGGTCTCACTGTGATTAAGAATCAGCTTAAAAAAAACCTCTCCACAGAAATGAGTGAGAAACCAGGGACAAGTATAGATGAAAAGGCTTCGCAAAAAAAAAAAAAAAAAACAAACCCAAAAAACAAACAAACAACAAAACAAACATAGTGCTAAGGAAGAGAGAGAGAGAGTGTGTGTGTGTGTGTACAGCTGGAGGAGGGAGGGGGTCCTTCCTATAATAATAACTGCTGCTTACTGAGTGTTCACCAGCCAGGCTTCCTGCCAAGTGCTTTATAGGCAGGCCAGCTTCCTCCTTACTTCAATAGCGTACAGACTATTGTTCTGCTTTTATAGCTGAAGAACAAAAGCACAGAAGAGGTAAATAACTCGCTCAGGCTGCTAACAGTGGTAGGTGGTTGATCTGATCTGAACCTGGTCTTCAGATGTTAAAAGAAGCCACCTGGTAAGCGTTCCAAACCAAGCCTGGAAATGAGCCCTAGCCTGACCTGGCCTGGAGATTGAGCCTTGCTGCACTGGCTGAGGGGAGAGAGGAGGATGACTGGTATTGCAGGGCCTCCCCAGTGGACCTTCCTGGAAGGCCATCAGTGATACTTCTCTGAGAGTCTATGTATTAAGTCTGTATCCCAAAGTAAAGTCCAGACCAGAGCAAGCAGGTTTGCAGACTAGCTGCCTCTTGGAGTTAGCCCCATTGCTTCTGCATCTTGACAGATGATCAGACTTTTCTTGTAAGCTGACAAAGCCCAGGAGCTCAAGCTGCTTAGATACAGCTTTTCTCTTTTCCTGGACATTTTTCTACACGTTCCTCCCTTAGCAAGGATTTCATTCCCACAGTTTCTCTGTGAAATGAAAAATGCAATTCAGCCTTCAAGACCCACCTCAAATTTTACTTCTGACACTCTTCCTGGCGCTGTCCACTGGAAATGGTCACTTTCTTATCTCTTCTGCTAGGCCGTAGGGGTGATTATACCACTTAAGATCATCGCATAGGAGTTGAGTGTGTTGTAGTTTATGGAGTCTTTCCATAGGTATTTTTTGTTTTGTTTGTTTTTCTAGACAGTGTTTTTCTATGTATATTCCTGGCTGGCCTGGAACTTGCAGAGATCCACCTGCTTCTGCCTCCTAAATTCTGGGCTTAAAGGTATGCACCGCCACCGCCTGGCTCCAGGTGTGTTTCTTAATTGATCAAGGCACAGGTTCAAGATCTCTTTTCTGGAGTTCTTGGGATCTGACGTCCTCCAGAGTTATCTATACCCCAGAGGGCTGGGCAGCCCTGTGGTCAGGTACTCCTGCATTAAGAGGCATGAATATTCACACCAGATGAACAGACAGTGGCAATCTGTTTTCCTTCCAAACTCTCAGTTTTCAGAGCTTCCTGGGAACTATGAAAAGGAGGTTGGGTCTGGATTTTTCAGACTTGGAATCCAGAACCCTTTTTAGTTATCATCTGATGTGTGTTTGTGTGTGTGTGTGTGTGTGTATGTGTGCGGTGCTTAAGCTGGGCCGAGTTGGGAGGTGCTTAGTTTCTCCTTGGTGATTAACAAGTATCTAGATCCAACTCAACTTCAGTGAGAGAATGTGTCGTAAGAGTGATGACTCCCAGAGTTAGTTTGGGTTCCTGGCTGAGCAAACGGAGAGGAAGGATGGAAGGACTGGCAGTGGGCACAAATGTGCTGTATTTGAAGACTGATGGGGGTGACTTGGGGGATGGGCAGCAGATGATACTCTGGCTAGACATAAAGAGCTGCCAGCCCACTGTGTGTTAAAACTTAACTCTGGCCACCAGGCTGGACAACAAAAGGACAGCTAACTGAGTCTTTCCAAGCTTGTCAATCTGTATCTACGGGTTTCTTAGTCTTCCCAGTGCAGATGCTTCGGGCATCACATCATGCTAATTTTAAAAAGGGAGAAAGCTGAGGCTCAGAGAAACTAAGTTAGTTGGCTTAAAAAAAAGTAGCAAGCCTTGCTCTTAAACCAGACTTGGGGATTCTCCTAGGAGACATCAGCTTTCCCTAGGATTCAGTACATCTGAGAAACACTGCCTGCCATTCCCCTTCCTAAGAGTCAGCACACTGACATCATGGAGGCTCTGAGAAGTCCTGCAGTAGAGGAACCCAGGAGGCTTGGTCCAGCTCCCCTGACTGGAACATGATTTTCACAGACCTGCTTACATCTCAAGAGTAGGTAGGACATTGGACTACAAACTATCCCTGGTCTCATTTAGCTCCTGGAAAGCCTGGCAGAGATTCACAGAGGAGAGCAGAAAGATGGGTAGAGATAGGCAGAGCAGAAATTAGAGTCTGGGAAGTGGAAGCTGTGTACACCAATGGGTGTTGATGGGAGGCAGGCCGGATACTTGCTTCCCGCCTGGGGGGAGCTGTGTTGGTCCAGCTGCATCTCATCAGGAAGACCAGCCCCAGCCTGCCCTCATGGAATGCCATCAATACCACAGACACTGTTCCTGCAGACAGCTCTAACAGCGTCGTCAAGGATACCGCTGCTGAGACAAGAAGGAATACAGGAATACAGGGCTGGGTCTGAATTCCAGGAGCTGGCCCTCCCTTTGGTGCAACGATAGCAATCCTTGTTCACT